TTTAGAGCCATAAATGGAAACCGTGAACAGAAGCCATCTTCTCTACACTTTAATAAGCATATGCCTCTATAATGTAGCCTCGACTTAAGCCGCACGATTTTCAGCAAACCCTACATACCAATATAATCAGGCTCAAGGGCGCCCTTGTCCCCCTACTTGAGCTTAGGGCCCTAAAATTATTCACAAGCTAATTGCCGCTTATAATTGGCGCTCAAATTTCAATTTCAATTTTGATTTTTCAAGTGCACGAAATCGTGATTTCAAGCTACAAAATTATATAATGCGTTGATTTGTAAAACTGCCAAACAAAACAACGTAATGGACGGCGTTGATGCCAACTTGCAAGCTCGTATTAAGTACATATTTCTTTCGCAGTTTCCCTTGAAGAAAGCTGCCAAAATATAATCGTTCGTACATACATATATACTTATATTTTTATTATACTAAGTATAATTGAGGTCATTGGCTGGCACGTTGCCGAATATTATTCATGAACTGCACTTGGCTATAATTTTTGGCCACACTCTGCTTTGTTTTCGCCGCATTGTTGAGCAGGTTGGAGAGACCTCCATGCAGAAAAAAAAATAAACAAAGTAATAATAAAATTGGCTTTATTTTATGGACCTCTTTTGTATCGCCGTATTCAGTACAGCGCCGATTTTCAATTTGGTGTTTCAATTTGGTGTTTTTGCATTGAAACCGATAATAGGATTTCGTCTGCATATCATGTTTTTTTTCTATATCTTTTCCTTCATAGCAATGTTCAAGGTTCGTGTGCACTTTGGTGAACCGCAAAAAATTTACATAAATGATTTATGCCGCTGCTCCACACTCGACATTCGAGTACAGCATGCAGTCTGCAATTTTCCAACTCATTAGTATTTCTACATTTGCTGCACTTTGTAAGAGTTGTTGTTGTTAAACGTTTTAACCCGTTACGGGCCAAAGCGTATAAAAAACATAAATGAAAATTTTAACTCTAAAGTACTATTTCCAAATGCATTTCCCAAAATGCATATAGTGTTGTTATTATGATTATTGCTCAGTTAAAAACTAAGTAAGGCAGCTTAAATGCTTTCTAGTTATTGAAAAATATCAGGTTAACCAAATTATGCTTCGAGCTTGGTTACTTCATATTTGTTTTCTTATTTATTTTTGTTAATTTGTTTACCTGTTTTCTTCTTAGTGAATAATAAAAGGTATGTCTACTTCCAGATTAGCAGAGAAACATCTTTCATTTTTCATAATGCCTTTTCAATAAACAAACAAACAATCAGGACGGAAAATAACCAAAAAGTGTGGCTTATCCTTGGCGAAGCATTTGATGCTCAGTGGATTTCACGATTGAGTAACCGGTCCCTTAATCCCATGGAACCATTCGAAAACGAGCCTGCTGGATAACAGTTTAAGCAGATTAAATGACCTACCCTGAAGGTTTTATTTTCAAGAATCTAAAATTTGGGATTTCTTGAAATGATTTGTTTTTTTAGGACAGGTTGTACAGCAGATTTCGTTAGTTTTCCTAAGAAGAATTATAAACATACAAAAAAAAAACAAATAAACAAATCTTTCTTATTTTTGAACGGCGTCTTAAATATTTTTGAAAGTGTGATGGTATTTTTCTTTTGTTAAACATTCAATTCTATAAACTAATATTTAGCAGCAAGCATATGTTTTATAAGTTGTGTGGAAGATTAGCAATCTTAAAAAAGGTACGTTTGATAATAAATAAAACAAAAAAATATAATAAATAGGAATAAATAGATTTTAATCAGGATAATAGGGTAAGAAAATCTAACGGATTAGATATATGTACATTAACTAAGTAACTGCATATAGAAAACCAATAATCCACATTCAATTGCCGTTAGCTTCAACTAACTTTTGTGCTTAAATGGGTTAAACATTTAACGCGTGCTATTGCTGTATTGGTGGCTTGGTGGTTTTTGCAAACCAGTTAGCACTCAAAGGCCGTTCGTTTGATTTGTTTCTCTTGTTAAGAATTTGTGTTATTTTTAGCGGGCAATTCCAATAAACTGTGCATGCATTTGCAATACATACTCTTTTACGTACATTTAACAGCACAGAGTATATAATGAAAATTCGATTGCTCAAATTTAACTTTGCACTTGCTGCAGATACTATTAAATATATGGATAAACTGGTTTTGAACTGAAGTTGTTGTGGTGTTATTTAATAATCTTGATGCATTAGCTCACAGTTTATTCATTCATATAAAGATGCTGAGCACACCATACGCTTAATTACTTAATTAATCATAGTAGATATTGCCTAAGCTGCAGGTCTGCGTCCCACCTTTTTGTACATACATTCATCAAGTTTGGTTTTGTTTTAACAGCCGCCTAATATCGTCTTTAATTAAATGCCAATGCATGGCACCATCGAACCATGGTTATGGATCTTGAAGTGCGTTCCCACGTGGGTGTTCGTTGCCGGATTTATGGACATTGACTTATGGCATTTGTCTATCTCTCGCTTGGTAAGTTCAAGTTAATTTTTATGCTTTTTTCTAATTGGCATTGCCTAAGCCATAAACCCACATAACCCACATGTCTGTTTGAATGTCTATGGCAATGCCAAGTGGCGTCCAACAACAATTTATATATATTTGAACATCACATTAAGCTGACACACATTTTTTGGGGTGTAGACTGCGGTAGCCGGCACGTGGGTTAAGGGCATGAGTCATGAACACAATAATTGAGTTATTCGTGAGGAGTGTTAGTTGTTTGGTATGAACTTTAAGGCACGTTCCTTAGGAAATAAATGAGCACAATACCTTTTTACGCTAAGACTGCAGAGCGCGAACAAACAAAAAAAGAACGCCCACAAATTTAATTAGCAGGAAGTGCTAATTGTCTGGATATGTCGCTAATGAAGAGGCCACGTTTCGTCTGTCTGAAGTACTTTCTAACAATTATTTAACTCTTTAAGGTTTTATGGTATTTGAATTCTTTGTTATGTTTAATAAAAAATGTTTTAATAATGTATTTTTAATTGTTTTCACATTTTTTATTTTTTGTTCTATATTAAAACTCCATACATACATCAACATTTGACTTGGAAGCAAAGAAAAAAGTATTATAGTAGCTACCGTTGATTTGATTTGTAAACTAAACCAATCTTTTTCTAAAGAAAAATGAAACGGACAAAGAAATTTGTATTGCCTTTTCCAAATGGATTAAATTAATTTAAAGCAGTAGCGCAAAAGTAAACCAAATAACCAAATAGTAAACACCCTTACTCTCTTTACTTTGAAACGCACCTTCTTTCAAAAAAGTTATTATTCGCTTTTTATTATTTAACAAAAAAATATTTCATAGCACATAATAACAATAAATCATATGGCGGCTTATAGTCAGTTGTAACAGCATGAAGCGTTCTTAAGTTGTTTATGTTAATCAAGTTTGCTGTCTAAGTCTTTTGTTTCAAGTTTTTTGCTTTTTAAAGAATTCCCACCATATATGCAGGCATTCAAAATAAAAAGAAGCAGTACTTATTTGCAGAGATCTCAGCATTTCCAATGCCCTACACAGCGGCGGCCCCCACACAAGATCGTTGCCTAAGTCTTTTGTTTACGACAGCCATTCACCTTTATACATAAGTAAGCGGTGCCACACTTTCAAATCAACCTGAGCGTGTTGTGTGGCCTGCTTTAGACCACTTTATCAAATCATCGGCCACAACAGCAACAACAACGCCAACAACAAATGAAACAGTACAAAAACACGTCTAACAGCGCAAGAATAATGAAACTTTATGAGTTCAGAGCCATCAATGCTGATTAAAATCACAGTTGTGGGCAACGTGACGCGTTCGATGTGCAACTGACATTCAACTCAAAAAACACACACACACACAGAAAATTACATTAAACTAATTATAAAATGTTACAACGAACGGACGGAATTGTTGATTCGTTGTTAATTAAAGAAGCATTAACCCAATCTAGAGCTGTCGATAGCGTGTCAACATAAATATTTTCATGGCTCATTTGCTGAAAACTGCCAAAACAAAAATAATAATTTCAACATGGAAATTATTTCCGTTACAAGAAGAAGGAGGAGAAGAAATTGATAAATAAAAAGCTCTTCACTTGGACTTTGATGTGCCGCATAGTTAACAAAAGTAATTCAACAGGAAACTCGGCAGAGTAGCGCCAGCCAAGCGTTTGAAACTCAAACCCAAATTTGTATTTAAAGAAATTACCAAAAATATCGAAAGAAAAAATTTCTTCTTACCACATGGTGCGCTCCATTTAAGCAAAAAGCTATAATTATTAGAGACATGCTATCAAGATGTATAAGAGGTGGGGGAAGGGGGGAGCAGGGTGAGCGGTTGGGCGTTAATTGGTAACACAAAATGACGCATGAGCAGAACATTAGTCTTGAGGAGTGACAGACAGTGGGCCAACACGAGCTTTTTATCGGATAAATTATAAATGGATTTATTCAACATAAAAAAGTAAGCAGGCTGCCAATATGTTTAAGCATACAAGCTATAAAGCTTCAGTTCTTTATTACAATTTTACAATTGAAATAACAATTTTTATAACTTCTGTCTCTCTTTCTGTCTGTGTGTTTCTTTGTCTGCTGTTTGACCATTAGCCGGTCTGGATGAAGTCTATCCAACTATCAATTGTCTGCCTATTCCCAGATTTATGTCTTTGCCTGTACGGCTGCCTGATGATTGACTGTCCTTCTGTCCTTTATTTGTCTGCCAGCACACTGCAAGATGAAAATATATTCTCAAATCACATTTCCCCCTAACTAAAAAGTTAAACTTTTTCCAATGATCCAATCAGCAGCAAGTTTCTTTCAGTTCTGAAAGCTATTGTGGGCTCCACGACCACTGTGCGATATCTTGGGTAAGAACATTTGATTAAGGCCAGCGCCTAGAACCGTCAAAGTGTGAGTTTAAAGTGTCGGGGAACTGGCTATTATTTTTCTAGCTGCCTATTTTTTTAGATTTTAACTCACCAGCAGCATCCAATTTGTTGGCGTTGCTCGTCTCTGCCTCTGTGGTGGTAGAAGTCGTTGAACTCGACTCGCTGCTATTGCTTTGTTCTATGCCAATTGCTGTTGTTGTTGTTACTGCTGCAGCAGCCACCTCTGTTGTTGTTTCGAAAGCTATGGCTGTTGCTGGCATTAGGGTGGTGACTGCAACATCCTCGCCTGCAGGCGCAGACGCCGCGCGCTCGATTTGAATGCCAAACAGCAATAATCCACAGAGGCTGGCCAGACAGAGCCAAAGTTGTTTTGGTTGCTTTGCTGCTCTTCTTCTTTTGTTAGCTTGCATTTTGATTTACAATTTTGAACTTTTTGAAGTTTTTTCTTTTGCACTTTAAGGTAATTTATAATAATCTCCTGTGGGAAAAAATTGACACAAATTATTGTTGTTATTTTTTAACAGTTTCGCGGCACATTTCTTCTTCTTTTTTGTATTTGCACAAAAATTCAGCGCGCTTTGAATTTTTCTGTTGTTTCACTTTCGGCACGTTTTGTGGTCTGTGTTTGACATTTGTTTGGAGTTTGTTACTTTTTTATTTAGCGGTTTTTATTCGATTTTTTTTTTTTTTGGTAATACAAAACGCTGCCATTTCCGTTGAAAGTTGTTGTGCATGTGCTTCGAAAGGTTGCATATTTATTTGAGTTATTAGCAATTTTTTTGAGAGCATTATTTTTCAAAAGAGAGAGAGTTTGCGTGAGACATCTATCTAAACCGAGTCAATGTGCGTTCTTAAAACGAATGAAGCTCTTAGAAGGCAGAACAAAAAAATGCAAAAAAAAAATACTTCAAGCTGTCAGATCGCTGCTGAAATTGTCGGACCCATTTGTTGCTTGGTTTTAAGAAACCACTCAACAAAAAAAACCTATTTATTAACTAAACTTAAAGAAGCTTAATCCGTATTGGTAATATTCTTTTAAAATAAAAAATCGATTCGAAAGTTTTTAAATTATTGAATAAAAATCTTGGGTTGCATCTAAGTGAAATTTTCTTAGAATACTCATTATTATTATTTCTCATAAACAATTATTTGGCTGCAATTGTTAGTTGGTTGGGAGGTGTGGCTTTCTATCCCTACACAATTGATAGCACGGCTTTGCGGAAGCTTACATGCCAGAAAAGTGGCAGTCAATTGGGGCCCTGCTTATATAATTGTTGAATTATAATTGTATTCAGCTATTAATCGAGAAAGCAATATTGCTGCAAAGATTAAATAGCAATATGTTTGCTTTAAGAAAAGGTTAATAAACGAATGAATGTGTGAACAACTATCTTTAAAGCAAATGTTTTTCAAAAACATTTTTGAAAATGAAATTATTTTTAGCGATTTATAAAAAGATTACACAAAACTGATTAATAAAAACTCTTTTAAAGGCAAATAATTTGAATTTAAATTATTTTAATTTGAAACTAAAAGGATCGTAGAAACTTAAGTCGAGAGCTAATGTGTTGTATGTGCCGTTTAGGCTGACATTCGATTTGAATTATAATCAACTATTAATTAGAGGACGTTAGAATGATATTAGAAGCAAATATTGCTGTTAAGATTATATAGAAAAAAGTTAGATTTGCCCAATAATATTTGTTGCCCAAAGTTGGGCCAAAAACAGATTAAGGCCGATATTCTATATTATTGCCAATACAAGAAAGAAACTTAAGGCATTGTAAATTAATTAATAGCTTAAGCTGAGCTCTTCGTTTTTAAGCAAACTTCTGTGCAATAGGTATATAATTTTTGCCAACTCCTCACAATGCTGTACGATTGGGAAAAATAAAAGTAAGTCAGAAGACAACCTTTGCTACAGCCAAAGAAGAAATATGCTTAAAGCCAAAGCGCATGCAATTCGTTGCTACAACAATAATAACAGTAGCAAACCTTAGACCCAAATTACAGCGGCAAACAAACAAAAAAAAATGTAAAAAAAAGATGCAAAACTATTTGAACCGGTTCCGCAAAATACGAAAAAAAACTATTGTAATGCAATTGCTGGCTGGTTGGCATTTCTGTAGCCGGGACTAGAAAACCGCAACTGCAGCTGAGCTTTTGGCGGTTAGTGTTGGCCAAGTTTCGAGCAGTTTTGGTTTATTATAAATTTGAAAACAATGCTTGGTTCGTCTGTGACGGTTCACACATAAGTTGGTCGCTGCAATTGCTTTGTTTTAATTCATTTCTTTTAACATTTTATTGCCGTTATTGCCAATGATGTCATTGTAAAAGCTTAAGAGCAACAAGTCTGGCCATTTGTACTGACATTTCACATTTCACATTTCACTCTCACTCCTTTTATGTATGAAATGGCAGTACGAAAACAAAACCAACAACAACAAACACCAAACACACCAAACCGACAGCCAAGTGTGTATGAAAAACTTGTTTTTGTTGTTTTTTCCTTTCCTTCGTTTTTGTATTTTCAATGGAATTTTTTCACTGCATGTTTCACTTCTTTGCTTTAGCTTGTTAGTAGCCGTTGTTGCTGTTGTTGTTGTTAGTCGGCACAAATCTGTTCAATAAGAAAGCGACGCTTTGCATATAAACACACAGATGCACAGTTTAAATAAAAAACAACAACAACAACATAATTTTGCTTTCGTTTAGCTTTCTGTCGCTGCTCTTTTGCACTAACCCCGGTCCCAAGAAGGTTTTGGGCCACGTTTGACAATTTTTAACACAGACACAAGTTCACTGCTTCCTCTTTTTCTTTTCTGCGTGTCTAGCGCACTCGTCAACCGCTTCGGCTGAGGCACGTCTACCAACTGAGCGGGCAGCCTGCTCGACTAGGCCGTGGTTGTTTCAGTCTCAGTTTCGATCAGTGTTGTCAATTTAGCCATTTTGCCCGCCAATTCTGCCGACTGCGGGAAATGCTGTCAACTTGATGTTGGCAGAATTTGAAGCGTTTCGTGATAGTTCAGCTTGCTTTTTCAAAGAACTAATAACCAATATACCTAAGAATGAAAAAATACTGTACTACAAAATGATGACTGTGTTATTTATGCTCAAAAGTACATATTTCCTAGATTTTAAAAAATTAACAAAAAAAAACAAAATAAATTGAAATGGGCTCATAAGATTTAAAATAAAGTGCAGAAAATGTAATTGCCTTTTTTTATTTTTCTCCAATATGTATATCGAAATTTTATTTAAAATAACCAATTTGGAAAAATCCAAAGGTTCTTTAAGAAAACATTGGGGCCGTAGACTATATTTTTAACATCAAATATACAAGTATATTAAATCTCAAAGAAAATTATAAACTCTTTTACCAATGAAACAGAAGAAATGGCGAAGTTAAAGTGTTTAGCTTTTTAATGAGAATGAAAACAACGAAAACGTAAAATAAATTTATACCACTTATAAATATGAAGGCTCTTACCGCAAATTACGCAATTGCAGAGCTTACTTTATAGACATTATATTACTACTATGTTTTTAGCTCTTTTTAGCTTGCTTCAATTGCTGATCTGGCTTTTTCAGGCAGTCAGAGATCGACAACACTGGTTTTGATTTCACCACAACGCAAGAGGCTGCTTGCCGGCCGCCACGTTTGCATAGCTCCGACAGGTTTCTCCACAGTGTTGAGTTTCAGCTGACAGCTGAGCGCATAGATTTCTGCGAGAGAGACAGAAAGAGTGAGTGCGCGGCTTTGTGCTCACTGAGCATGGCTTGACATAATAGTCGGCTTGGCTCAGGTGTGTGTATAAGTGTGTGTGTGTGTGTGTGGGTGTGCGTCACGCGAAATACGTTAGAAGCTGTTGGTTTTTTGAATTTCAAGCCAATTGAGTTCAATTTTTTGGTTCAGTTTGGAAGTCATTTCTTGACAAATGAACTCAACGCGTGAACTATTTGAACCAAGCCAATGACTATTCGCCATGTAGTGTGACGGCTCAACGGTTTATTCAACAAGAAGTCATTGAAAGGCTAAGCAATCGAGCTGACAGTCATTGTCGCTGACGCCCACAGTTTGTCTGTGAAATAACCAAACATCTTATCAAAAATGTGTACATACCTATATACATACACTCAGAAAAATGAATTCTTTCCAATCAAGAAACATATTATCAGTGTTCTATTATAAAGAATAGAATAGAAATAAATATCTCCAATATTTAAGAGTTGAACATACTTTTTGTATATTTTTAAAAATGTTATTCATATACTAACGTCAGAGTTTAAAAAAAAAACACACAAAATATATCAGAACAAATTTTCTATTTATATTTTCTGGACTTAAAAAATACTTCCTAAAGCTCATTTAATATTATAAAATAAACACTTGTTTTGAGAAAAAAAAAGGAGTCTGGACATACACGTATAAAGCAACCAAACATTTTAACTTATCATCAACAAAAAGTTTCGTAAAGTTTCGTCAATAAATTGCCATTAAGATTCCTATTTCGGTTCGTTTTTCTTACTGTATGTATGAAGTATGTGAAGAAGGCTATGACTGCTTATTGAACTCTTGCCCAAGCCATGATGAATCAATAACACATCTCATTGAAGACGCGCCCCGAACACCACTTACTTCTTGGGCAAGTCTAATCAATCATAAATTAACGACAGAATTCCATAAAAGTCATACCAACCACAACAAAAATGAAGTATAATAAAACTTCAACATAACAACCATAAAAAAAAATAGCTCTTAGGTGCTGCTGCTCTTTCAAAAGAAAAAAATGCAAAAATGCGCTTTTGGTATTGCACAAACCTTTATAAGGTGCACAAAAACGTGTGGATGTGTGTATGTGTGGTGCATTGTTTTCAGTTGGAAGTTGTTGCCCGATCTATGAGCTTTGTGAGTTTGCCATTGAGTGGAGCTCTTGTTGCATGTGGCACAACGAAAACTATAACGCTTGCATTTGGCACGCAACTTCTTTATTGCGGCAATGCTCGAAAAACAACAAAAACAAAAACTTCATAATCATATGCAGGGCACCAAACAACCGCTTGGAATTGAACAGCTGCTGCCACATGACCAGTTGACGCTATATAATCAAATATTTATAATACTCGGATCACCTTTTCATCACAACAAGCATAAAAAGTCGCAATGTTCGTTGCAGCAAACAAAAGACTTAGGCAACAAACTTGCCCGTCGGTTGGCAGATTTTTTTCACACTGTCGCTCCAGAATATTAAAAATTGTGTGCTAAGCATAAAATAACT